CTCCTTCTCCTTCCTCCTCCTCCTCCTCCCCTTCTCCCTCCTCCTCCTCCTCCTCCTTCTCCTCCCCCTCCTCCTCCTCCTTCTCCTCCCCCTCCTCCTCTCCCTCCTCCTCCTTCTCTTCCCCCTCCACCTCCATCCCCCTACCCTCCGCACTCCCCTCGCCTTCGTCCTCTGCATTTTCCACAGTTCCCTCCCATTCCCTCTCTCTTCTCCTCTCCCTTTGCTTCGTCCATCACCTCCCCCTCCTCTCCCTTTCCCTCTTCCTGATCGCTTCCTGCCCTCTCTTCCAGCTGCTCCTCTTCCTCCCTCCCTAATGCCTTTTCCTCCTGTCGCTCCTCTTCCTCCCGATGGCCCGACCCCTCCTCCTCTTGTCCACCCTCTCCATCCGGTTCATCCTCGATTTCCTTCTTCCCTATTATTCCTTCCAGGCGGCCCACTTCCACCCCCTGCGGACCCCCTCCCTCGGTCTTACACGAGGTACTAACGGACAAAAACGGGACGACGTTCTGCCGCAAACTTTCTTCATCCAATTTTGTCATGCATGCCTGCATATTTTTCTTCTCCTGCATTTCCCTTTCTCCATTCTTAATAGGGTTACGCCGCTCTTCAGGCACCCCTTGGGGCTTGTCCTTTCCTTCCTCCTCCCATGCCCACTCATCCTTTTCCTGCTCCATCCCTGCACCACGTGTATACTTCCGTGGCCCGATTTACTTTCCTTCGCCCGCACAGTCCTGCGTGTGGTTTTTTAAATCCTTCCCCTATCCACTCTGTGGTGGTTTCCGAAAGTGGGGCCTTCGACCTCCTCAGTCGTCGTAACCAACTTTCCCCAACTATACCGCCACCGAGTCTGCCCTAGGCAAGGAAGACACCGTCCTACCCTACTCGTTGCCTGTCATATGTGAGAAGCGGACATTGGATTTTTTTAATTTTTTTTAACATGTTTGTCTCCTTGCGCTTTGTGCTCGCTGACCGCTCCGTACTACAAGCAGGGAGGGAGTAGGCTAAAGGCCTGTTGCACTCAAGCTCCTTATTATTCAGCATCGGATCATGTCCTGCTTCTCCAAACTGAAGCCATCCTTCCCACATTCGATAGATTACAGAATGAGTAGGACGAGCGCGGGTTGGAGTGAGGCGGAGTTGCTGTCGATGGCATTCAGACGAAAGCAACGGGAGGCAAAGGAGCTAGAGCAGGAACAATCTCGGCAGCGGACGTCCACACGCGGGATCAAAAAGGCATACTCTCGTCCAAGGAACTCTAAATCGGCCAGTCCATCGCCGCGCTTGCACTCGAGCCCCTTATCACCGCCTTTCGGGAGGAGTTTGTCGCCCTCGCCTCCTCCCACCCCTCACCAACCCCTTTCCCGCAATGGCATTAAGACCTCCGGTCCACCTCCTCGCCACGCGCGCTCACCCTCTCCACATCGACATGCCCACCGCGACAGACACGGGCATTTTGAAAACGATGGAGAGCGTGCGCGTAAGTCGAGACGGCATCGACTGGACAGTCAAGACCGAAGCAAAAGCCGCAGTCAGAGTCGGGAGGGTACCAGACGTAAACGGAAAAAAATAAGCCGACGGCGCAGTAAGAGTCAAAATCGGGAAAGTAGACAAAAAATAGCGAGAGGTACACACGACAGGGATGCCACGGACCGGGAAAGATGCTCCGCCCGGTCCCCCGGACGGGAGAGCGACCTCCCACCTCGCGACCGGTCGGGCGATGGCCTGGCTGGATCGCGCTCGACCCGCCAGCGACACGACAAGGGCGCACTCGACTTGTCCCCAGGGACCTCAACGCGGCAGCAAAGCAACGCCGCCGGGTCCGAGGACGCGGTGGACGAGTTTGGGCGCACAGTCAGCGGCCGCCGATCAAGGCCGAGCCCCAGCCCGGGTCCCGATAAGGAGGGCGGGAGGCGAGGAAGGATTCGATCCCGCAGCAGGAATGACAACCCGTCCCGTCGCCACGCGACCAAGCGGCGGTCGTCTCGGTCTCTGTCGCCTTCCCGCTCCCGCTCGCCCCGCTCGTCCAGACCGGGGTCCAAGAGAAGTACGAGTCCCACCCAGGACTGGGATCGGAGGCGGGAGCGGAGCCGGGCCCGAGGGGCCAGTCCAGGACCTGACAAGGTCCCACAATGGAGCCGCGACAAGTTCGCGGAGGTAGCGGAGGAAGAGGAGGGGGAGAATGGGCGCCCTGAGCGGGTGGTCCCTCGGGATTACGTCCCGCCCCTTCCGACGTGGAAAAGCAAGGCAGGAGGGGTGTATATACCCATCATCCGCAAGTAAAGTAAAAAATCAAGGCGTTCCTGAAGGACTTGCCCATCGATAGAAATGGGCCCGTCGCATGAGTTGCGAAAGGGCCGAGCGTCCTGTCCGCTTGCGTTCATGGTTCAGTTTGACTTCTGTTCTTCGTTATAGTGTTGGCGTCACCCATCATATGATTACAAGCCACCGTACATGGGCCAGCTAGAGCGTATGCTGGATAAGAAACGCAAGGAAAGATCCTCTTTCCCTATTCATTCCTTTCCAGACCCTCGAAAGCGGGTGAATCCTAAGCGTTCTCCCTCCTTTGTGCCCCTTTTCTCCCTGTACAAGCACCCACCGACCATCGCACCTCGCCTATCCAGCATGCATTTTCCCACCTTTGTCTAGCCCTCAACTCCTCTGTCTCAGCCCTTGATATGCCCCACTTTAAATCGCCCTGTCCCGTCAACCCAATTCCGCCAGCACTGGACCCCAGTGCGCGTGCAGAGAGCGGGACGCCTGACTGTCTCCCGCGGATTCCGCCCCTCCCTTTCCCCGTCTCCACAGCTGGCGTTGGCCTTGCAGGCTTCTTCCTCTCGCCACATTGACTCGCCCTCCTACCCCTTTTTCCCTGCGGTCATGGCCCGGGTTCCCGTCCGCGCTGTCTCTCTCACGCGGAGACCACGCCATCGTCGCCAGAGCCTCGCAATCCTCGTCCTTTGGCAACCTTCCCGGCGGGACGCGCCCCTGCTTTGCCCTTTGGGAGAATAGGCGCGAAGCGTTCCATGCCAGCATCTGCCATGGCCCCAAAGTGGAGATCCTTTACAAAGGCTTTATCCTGGTACTTACCCATTGACTTGTCCTTCACGTAGGCAAACGCCACGGTATGTTCCTCCTCCTCCTCCCCCTCGATGAGAAGACTTTTGCTCAGCCAGCCCGAGTCCCCGGTCAGGGCATCCACAGGCTCGTTGTCCAAGAAGAAGTAGACAATGTCGTAGGTTTCCTCGGAAGAACTCCGCCACTTGAAATTCAGGACACCGCTGCCCTTCAGGTACAGCAAAGCGACGTTGGTTTGCGCGTCGTGCGTGTTGCCGGAATGGATCTCGCCCCCATCCACCACCCACGCGTTTGCCCCACTGTCCGCGCCGGAGAACCATTCGCCGGGAAATGCCTTCCCAAAGTCCGCCACCGGCAGGGCGAAGGCCGTCAGTGCAATCGTTTGCTCGCCTACCTGCTTACCTCCCTCGTTGATTTGCAGAGAGACCTCGGCGGAGGCGACCTCGGCGCGGGTGGACTTGTAAGAGACTGTCGCAGACTCCACGGCCCCCGATGCCGGCAAGGAAAGTTTAGATTCGTCGATATTGAAATTCGAGGACGAGCCTTTGGCAAAGCCTAGGGTGAGGCCAAGGGCGTTGGAGGCCAACGAGCGGATGTAGACAGAGAAAGCCGCCGCACGGTTCACGCCTGCAAAGAGGACGTTGACGGCGCCCAGGCCCCGACCCGAGCCGGTGGCCACCTCCAAGAGCATCTTGGAGGCCAGCCAGTCCGCGTGGTAGGAGACGCGCGTGTAGACTCCGGGTACCTTGGCGCGCGCGCACCCGACGCCCCATGAGACCACACCGAAGAGGTAGGTTTTACCATTCACCGTGGCGGTCAACGGCCCTCCGCTGTCCCCCTGGCAAGAATCCAAGCCCCCGCGGTCCACACCTGCGCAGACTTCTTCGTCAAGAATCGAATCCTTTGCGGTGACCGCACGGTACTCTTCGTTACACTTGGCATTGGCGACAACAGGCAGGGTGACTGCCCGCAGCACGTCCGTCCCTGAGCCTTGGACCGGAAGGCCGCCCTTGACCGAATCAACTTTTTGGCTCCGTTCTTCTGTCAGGCCCCAACCGAGCACTGTAACCAGCTGCCCTTCATTGACCATCTTCGCCTTAGTGGGAGGAATGAGGGGCAAGGTAGGGATGTCAGAGGACACAGCACGCTCCAGGCGCAGGATGGCGATGTCTCCTTGCATTGTCTGTGGGTCGTATTCCGGGTGCATGAATGCCTCTGCGACTTTAATCATCTCTCCCGAGGACGCGTCGGAGAGTTGGTAGCGCCCGACCACTGCTGACATGTCATACCCGGCTGCGACACAATGGGCAGCCGTCACAACAAACTTGGGAGAAATCAGAGTCCCTCCGCAAAATTGGAAGAGACGGCCCTAAAGAGAGCGGATTTGATGTGGAATGGAAACATGGTAAGAAAGGAAAAATGTGTATCTTAACCAAAGCAGAGAGAGGCGCTGACGGCAAACAGCTTGTAAAGTGACGATGTCTGTCACGCGTTACTTACGTGGGTATCTGTCACCAACGCTACAGTCCACTTGGAGTCCGAACGATCTGCAAGTCCACCACCCACAATAAACGACGGGCCGTGAAATGGCGTCTGAGCAATGGGACGAAGGGGCAGCATTGGCCCTTGAGGCGCTTGAGCTTTGAGATCCTCAGCGGTGGGTGCAGAGGACGCGAAATTGTCGCCCAAAAAGGCTCCAAAGGCCACCATAAGCATAATTACAGAAGAGGCTTGGGTGTAACGCATGGTTGAAACCTATTGTAGCTGTTGCTTGTAGTTGCTGCAAGAATCGTGCGCATGAAAACGTCATATAAAGGGTAGTGAGACATGTGTGTCAAAGTGTTGCTTTTGGTGGTCACCAACATGCAGCACACTCGAAATACAATTACAGCTGCGTTGTAGAAAGTCACAAGCAAGTGGATGTCCGATTGTTCTTTGCCGGGTGGAAAGTGTAAAGGGAATGCGCTATTCGACAGCATAATCGTGTTCAGCTTCAACACGACGAAGAAACAGAAAATGGACTGTACAAGGTCGTTTTATTCTTCGCAAAGCATTGACACATTGCATTTGAAAAATAATACGTAGGAACTGCTTTATAACATAAAAAGAACACCACTCGTTGAGGAACAGCGCTTCGAAAGACGCGAAACGTCGTCGCCAATGCGCGCAACGGTCTGCAACGGCCCGCAACGGGCGGCCGTTGCAGACCGTTTCACCAAGTACTTTAATTTTTCAAATCGACTCTTCTCAGCATTCATTTTCCATCACTCGTTAATACAACCAATTGACAGAGTATTTTTTGTTTCAAGTATCATTCACTCCACTTTCTTCCAGAAATCGATCAATTCGCGTCCAATATCAAAAGGTGATGAAGCCGTACGCATTTTCAAATATTGTGAGTCCTTACCTCATTTCAGACTGTTTTCGTTAGAATTACGACACTGTTTACCAATCGGCTGCGAAGCACAATCGCTTCTAATCATTCAAAATCGTCTGGCTGCTATCTAGTCAAAAGGAGGTACAATCCAGGGATCCTGCCCTCACCATTCAATTAAAGCATGAATTAGTACTTGGATGTGCGTGCTCCTTTTCTCAGGTTGAACGCAAGAAGTACAAATTATTGCTTAGACAATGCGTCTATGAAAAACCCGTGAGGGTTAACACGTGCGAACGTTGACGAATGTAGTCGATTCGACAAAATAACTGTAAGATACCCTTTTGGATACTTACAAACGTTGAACGAGAAGAAAAATGTTGCATTAACTTGTTAGCCTAACTTGACACGCATAAAGTGAAGTGACGCAAAATTCATAGCAGGGCCTTGTGATCTCATAGACTCAACTTTCAATGCGTAAACCTGCTAGGCATCAATACACGGCCTCGAAAGGACATAAAGTTGTGCAGTAAAAAAAACACTTTTTGTGAATGATGGCATTCACTTTCACCTAGCATTTCATAATCTACACTTCTTTGTATCTCAAATTGATATGTAAGGTATCGAGACTTGAACAGCTCGACGGCATGAAAACTACTAAATTTTCTTGGTTTTAAGCATGAAGTGGGTGAAGAAAGCACACACGGATTGCGTATAGTCGTTCATTGCCATTTTGACATAAATGCTGCTTGGCTTTTGTAAGTCCATGGGTGGCAACCGAGGATGCAACCGTCAGAACATGCAACATGCATTACTACACACAACATTCTCCAAGGACCTGTCCAGTTTTCATTCAATCAGTAGTCCCTACCAACGTGGATACGTACTCGCACGATAAGACCGAGCATCGAGGGCAGTCCACAGATGGATATACATAGCTATGCATTGCGTATTTGCTTTAAACTTATGCAGGTCATTTTGCGGACTCCCAACATACCCGGAAGAAGTCCTTTAGTCTACCCACCCGCAGTGCTACCGCCCCATCCCCTCTTTTCTGGATGGACATACCCCACCTTTAGATGTCATTTTAAGATACAAACTCAAGAATTGATCCCAACCTGCGTAAATATTCATTCTCAAGTGGACAGGTGCCATGGTGAATGTGGAAATATCTTGCACGTGTCCGCACCTGGATGCAGGCAAATTATCAAAACCGGCAGCATCATCATCTCCTCCATCAGCCACTTTTACTGCCCCTACATCTTATCCTTCCGCTTCACCCACGGGCTCTCGTGCTTTAAAACGGAAGCCAGTGGAGTCAATTACATCAGTGCGTACTCAAGCGTTGGCAAATTACCATCGATTTCTGCAAAATGAAGAGCAAAACATGCAAAGAGCAGCATCCACAGGCATTATCAACGATGGAAGAGGAAGCTTGAACGCCCGAATTGAAAGTGCTGCGATAACAACGGCACATTTCTCTCGGTAAGAAGACGCATTTTAAACCCTTAAAGTTCTCCTTCGCTCCTCTGATGCGTTAAAGATTCGTGATATAGGTATTTTTTCGACCAAATTTCCTTCCCTGCATCCTCCTTGAGTGCTTCGATCTTTCTAAAATCAGATGGAAGAGTGGAAAGCCTTGAAAGAAGCATACTGATAGATGGAGTAGTTGATCAGCTTATAGAATTTGACATGTCAATACAACGTAATGTACCTGAAGAAAAAGGGGGCCGTCCGAAAGACTTCCCACAAAGACGATTAGGAACTTCCCGATCCGTTAGACATCCATAAATGACCAACATATCTCCTACGCAGCCCCTAATTTTGTAAAAAAGAATGCTTATCGTTTTGAAATTGCTTCATATTCTTGCAATACCCCACGAACAGGTCGGCGCAGAGCACGATTGCCGAGACATTGGTCATGTGTCCCGGCTGCCAACACCGATCCCCCTCCTCTGCCACCGATGACGCTAGATGCAAGGATCGCTGCGATAGAGCTGCACGTGGCCCCGGGATCAGAAGGAAGGAAAGCAGTGTGGTCGACTGGGTGATGAAGGAAAGGGAAGACATGCTGTATTGCCTGCAGTGCGGCTACAGAGCATGTCGCAGGTACCAGCATATCGAAAAGCATTTCTTGGTCACGAACCATTTTCTCGGGGTTGCGCCCTACGCTCCAGGAGGAATGGAAGGAGGGGATGGAGGCGGGGGGATTTTCTGCTTTCTGTGCGGTGACTACGTCTACGACGTGGAGTTTGATCTGACCAGGATTATGTGGGCCCAAGCCCGTTCCAGCGATTCCCGCAGCCTCCTCCGCCGACCACCCTCCCTCCGTCCCTCCCTCTTCACCTGGCCTCTCCTTGCACAGCCCTGCCTTGTTCGACATGCCACGCATGGCCTCCGTGGTTTCTACAATCTGGGTAGCACTTGCTTTATGAGCTGTATCCTCCAGGCACTGCTTCACAATCCCGTCCTCAAAGACTTCTTCCTCCGCCGCAGCCACTCCCTTGCCACGTGCCCGAAAGCGCAAGGGTCTCACAAAGCCGCTACCTTGGTCTGGGAAGGAGACACTGCCGGCGGAGGAAAAGAGGGGGGGCAGGTGGGCGCACGCACCTTGAAGGAGCCGTGCGCGGTCCACTGGCGCGACCGAGGCGAGCGGTCAAACGGAGAGCGTCCTGGCCCTACGTCCTCCTCCTTTATGACCGCACCGTGCCTAGCCTGCGAACTCCAAGAGCTCTTCCTTCTCGTCTTTTGTAGGGAGCCCACCATGCCTCCACCGGTTCTACTGGCCCGGTCTGACACTGCCCCTGTGTCTTCCGCCGACGCCAACCACCAGCACCACCCGCAAGCCGTGCTCGAACAGTACAAGAAATCCTTGGGAGCGGCCGCCGCCACGGCCGCAGCGGTTGCACTCACGCCCCCTTCGGAGCCCCTGGTCCCTCACCGACTCATGCAAGCCATGTGGTCCCTAATGTCCGCCGAACACTTGGCGGGCTACGAGCAACAGGACGCCCATGAATTCTTGATCGCCCTTCTCGACGCGTTGCACAACGACCTAGCCCTTCCTCCCTCCCGCCCTCCCACCCAAACACCCCCGTCTTCCCGCCATACGCCGGCGATAGTCCACGCGTTGCGGAAAGAAGATGTTGTCTGGACATGTAGGACTCCATCGATGAACGACAAATTGAATCCGAAAGAAAGTTTCAGCAGGGGAAATGAAAGGGAGGCATGCAGGAAAGAGGGAAAGGAAGACGCGAGGAAGGAAAAGGTCATTCCAGCGGGCCTGATTCACAGCGCGTTCAGGGGCACATTGCGTTCGGACGTTGTGTGTGCGAGTTGCCAGGCTGTTTCAACGGTTTACGAGCCATTTCTGGACCTGTCCTTGCCTTTGGAAAAGATGGCGGGTCCCCAGAGCCCGGCGGGAACACGAGACGCACGAGAGGAAAGCGGAGCGGTGAAAGGCTACGAAGACACCAGGGGAGAAAAGGGGGAAGGGAGCTCTGGGCGCGGAGAAGGAGGACTGCAGGGGAACGGAGGTCTCTCGGTGGCGGCGGTGGGAAATTCCCCTACTCCCACCGCAGGCACGACGCCGAAGAGCCGGGCAGGACGATGCGATGGAGGCGACGGGCGTACGTATGGGGGACCGAGTGTGGGGGGGGGAGTGGCGGCTTGTTACGAGCCGGGAGTGCACAAGGCGAAAAGGTGGACGAGACAGGAGACGTCTCCAAGGACAAGGGTTTGAGGAGCCAGGGGAGAAACAAGAACCCCTGACGGGGTGCGCTGAAATAGCGTCGGCCTCTCCTTCCTCCTCTTCCCCTCCTTCCGGCACTATCTCGAGCTCACACACTCCCCCTGCCGCTTCTCCTTCCTCAATGCCCTCTTCGGAGGGTCTTGACACCTCATCCACCTCCCTCCTCCGCCCCGTCCGCCGTCCGTCCCTCCGTCTTCCGACTCCTTCCCCTTCTGTGCTTGATGAACTTACCCTCTCCCACTGCCTGGATGCCTACACATCGCGTGAGACGCTCTCTTGTCCATACAAATGCGCATCCTGCGGCGCAACTTCCTCATCCTGCTCCAAGCAATTGACATTACACCGGCTGCCCAACGTTTTCATCTTTCATATGAAACGCTTTGACGCCTTCTCCGCCCGCAAAATTGAGAAGTTCGTCCGGTACCCTCCCAAAGGTCTGAATATGGCCCCTTACATGCACGCGTGGTGCAACGCGGAAATGAGGCGGGGGGGGACAACGGCGAAAAGGAAGGAAGAAAGTTTGGGGAATGAAAATGGTGGCGACAGGCGTGGGAAAAGGGCTCGTGAAGGGGAAGGCTCCCCTCAAACGGGATGGTCTCATGGACGAAGGGAGGGCATGAACGGCGGATCCGTGAGCCCTGAGATTCCCTATGACCTGTTTGCAGTCGTAGAGCACATGGGGGCCTCCCTTCAGCAAGGGCATTACAAAGCATTCGTACAGGAAGGGACAGAGAGAGGGAAGGAAGGAGGGAGGGAGGGAGGGCGGGCACCGGCCTGGTACGTTTGCAACGATACTTGGGTCCAGGCGGTGAGCATTGAAAAGGTCTTGAACGCGCAAGCTTACCTCCTGTTTTACATCCGACGGGGTTGGAGCCCAAAGGCAGGCTGAAGGTTACGAAGGGATACGGAAAGGATAGATCGAGAGGGTGTGCTAGGTTGAAGATGACAAACTGTGCTGGCGATGCAGGAACGGAAGGTGTGTGCTTCTTTCGGTGGTCTTTTGTGAGGGTGGAGTGAGGATGGAGGGGGTCAAGTTGCTGAAGTAGTGTACCATATTCGACAAACCAGATGTCACTATAGTGAGTGTCTGAAATAGTGTGAAGCGTTCGACGGGCTAGATGTTACGTAAGGTTAGGAGCTGCAAATGGAAGTGAATAGGATTACTCTAGGGTCTGTTGGGAAAACGAAGTTCGATCGAATCGTCGGTAAAAGATAATTGAATGCTTAGTATGTTGCTTTCCTGATACTTTCCGCCGAACACAAATCGTGCGTTTCATGGCAGCACATTCAACACTAAAGCCAGGCAATCAATCATCCAACTGAAGCCATCGCATCCTCTCCAGGCAGCTGTCCACACGCATTCACTCAGGCATTTTTGCTGTACAAATTTCGTCTCCCCAGAAAATTAAACGTTGCAGCTTGATTGTCTGTCACTTCCTCTCCCATTTTCCTATCGGGCTTCAAATTGCACCACGCGCTTCGTCCGCATTTTGTACATAATCCTATGGTTGCACTGCCGGCAACGAATTGGATCCTTGTTTTTTATCACGTTCTGGGCACCACAATCTGTATTATCCGAGTTAAGAGACAGATAAGAGACGGGAGACGTGTTAAATGTGCGATACATACTTAGGAGTCAGCCACTGGAGTATACTTTGCTCTCAGGCGTCAGTGATGTACAAGTCAGTCAAGCTTTAACGTACAGACCTCCAGTCTCAGAGTTGAATGTTGCGGACAGCAACAATTGCGATGAACCGTCTTAAAGTATCCCTTCTCGATGTGATCCAATCATCCTCACATGACCACTACAATCAATGCCTCCCACTTACCTCCGCATAAATAAGTCACGCCGCTTAGCTCCCGCGCCATGGCCCCGCCAACGCCGGTAGTCCCTCCTTCACCAACGCCTCCACCTGCCCCGGAGCCATAATGGCCGTAAGGTCCACCGCCTGCGCCCGACATCATATGCAGTTTACAGAGCTTGACAGGTGATTGCACGAGTGAAAGACGTCTATCCTGGATGACGGTAGGAAGAAAATAATATGTAAACACCCGCAAGTGTGATGGATTTCAGGTATGCACGTGTTAAGAGAGCATAGATGCATGACGACACGCATAGAAGATAGTGTGGGCCTGGCTGCAATCATAGCATCTCCGTACCCCTCTGACAGAAAGAGGTGGTCATCGTCACCCGCGACCCTCCCAACCCGAATGAACCACACAGCACGTGGGAAACGCCCAAAGACAAGGTGATATCCACCTCATGCTGCGAACAAGGTCCTTTCGTGACTCTTTCTGGGGCATCTATCCGTACGACTCCTGACAGACTGAACGGACTTTTGCCTCAGGGAAACATTTGACCGTCCTCGGACGCCGCAAGCCGGACGTTGCCTCGACAACACTTAATATGGGCCAGTCCCGCAGAGGAACTTCGAATTTGCATGCGAGGCCTTTATCCCGCTTCGATAGCATCGGGTTGCCAAAAACTACGGTTGAAATGGTTGTTTTTGCTTCAAACCTGGTCAATCTTGCCGGATATGATACTTACTATGATACAACCCCCGAGCACGCAGAATATAGGGCTGCTGAATAATAGCCGATGGGAATGTGCTGATGATAAAGTTGCACATGGATCATAGTCCCGTTGATTGTTTAAGGCGTGCACTGCCTTGATTGATGACTCAATGGAGAGAAAATTGTGTCAAAAAATATTTAGTATTGAGGCAGCCAAACCTTGCCAAATCATCTGCTACTACTCAAAGCTGAAAAGTAAAACAAACACAATTTACGATTCAAAACATTGATGAAGATGAAATGATCATGATGAACGAGCTGGAAATCAATTTCTGACGAGCATTTCCACTTTTGTCTTTCCCTACGTGGACAATGTCCGCACAAGCATAAATTGTGCTTCCCCATAGCTTAGCGTGGAGGGGAGCGCGCGTCACCATCCAGGAGTAAGAACGAAGCGGTTGGCCTCATAGTCGGTTAAATGTCGAGTGTGTACGAGGAATATGAAAGACTAATATGAAGAGTTTCGTCGGAGGTCTTATATGTTGTAGTTGCTGATCCTGTAGGAGTTCTTTGGATGGATTAGTAGTAGTCATCAAGGAAAGTTGAGGCTGCTCATGATTTCGAGCTTGTGAGCTATATTTCTTTTATTTTCCTTTTCTTTTGTCTGCCTTTTTCTTCGTTTCTTGGTTGTTAATTCGTCAACGTGCCCTGGACAAGCATCCACGCGTTTCTCAGAGATAAATATTGACGAGGCGTATAGGACTCCAAAAGACTTGCCTGTGAATACCTATCTTTTGACCATCCACAATTGGAAAACGTATAAAGCTCGCACAAGATGCAGTTGGGTCGAAAATTCCTGCGTGATTTCTCAATAAGATAGTTTGTCCAAGAAGGTTCATTCGATAAGTGAAAACATATGATGAAGATGCTTATATCGAAATTATAAAATCATTACTTGCATAAATCTCCTCTTTTTTCTTTCAGTTCCCAGGCAAGCGATCAAATAAAACCCCCAACAGTTGCTACAAATACTAGCGTGAGAATGTATCTTCGGCCTTCAACAACCTTGGCTTGCAGTGTCAAAAGATCAAAAATACATTTGAAATCGTTGATTCGCATGACAATTTGATGTACACAAAGCGAGAAGGAGATCTCTACAATAGTGCAATCATTAAAAGAAAGGAAACCAACGACTTGCAATTGCAACATGGAAGTGACTATGAGGCCAGTCTCTCTTCTCTTTAGACTTTATTGTTTTTGAGAGCAAGGGATGACATCCACGAACACAAGACACGACAATACTTGTCAGCTGCTTTTCGGTGTGGACTTTCCGTATTATTACCTCAACACATATTGAGTTAAGCCCACTGGTCACATATTACGAGGATTATGTATAGGGCTAACGAATAGTTGCACCTAGACACAGACGTCGTGACGCACACATAGAAACATATATCAAGAACACGCTGCACCTTCACAACCGTGTTGAAGGAGACTTAGCTCTGCGAGCGAGGGATCTACCTGACGTAGACTTGTCCCTCTTCCCTAGTGATAAAATCGCCTCCCACCAAATCCACAAAGATCTGAAAAGGAACGTAGGTGCCAGAAGGAATACCCTTTCCAATGCGAATCTTTGAGGTGACTTTGTACTGCTTACTCAACACCAGACCATTCAGCGGCATCGGCAAGAAGGAGGTGCCCGTTCCAGTACCGTTGGCGAAAATCCTGATTGAGCGTCGGAAAAAGAAGAAATAAGACAATCAGGAGATCAATGACTATGACTTGGGAGTCCATCGAAACACAAGCTTCGACTTTTCCACCACAACTCACTTGGGCCGCCAGGTATTGGGGGAGATGCGAGTTTTCCGCAGAGTGACATCAACGTCGCCCGCGAACTTGCTTGTTTTGTTCTTGGCCGTGTGGTTCTTCGAAGATAGGGGGCTTACTAGGGGCTCTACCGTGATCTGGCCATAGTGTTACGGTGGGAGAGAAGGTTAGACCCAGGCATGCCTCGATTTGTACCATATACTTCTAGCATGATGTAATGGCTAGAGATCATTGCAAGCAACAAGCTAGTGACCGTAATCGCGTATGAATGCGAACAGCCACACCACCCGTGCCCAGGATGCTTCGCAGACGTACCCCATATAACACCTCCGTCACATTATTTGGGACTTCCGAGATGAGGAAAGAGGTCGTGATGGTAGCTTGACGACCGGCTTTGACGGAGAGTGACTTCACGCAAACACTACCAGTGTATTCTTGCGCCGCAGCATTGGACTGTGGACGTGAAAATCAGATGAAAGAGGGCAACGAGTAGACAAGACCAAACATGAGAATATCGATCATCCCTACCAATACAGTGGCAGCAGCACTGCAACAGCATGCAATAGAAACCCATGCTTACTGAGGAAGACACATGGCTCATTTTCGTCATACTTCCAATTTCCCTACGTGGTCTTTATCAGCGAATAGCTCAAACATGTATGCTTTCATCGTTCCTAATCTAATCTTACCAGCAGTGTAGCCACCGCTACAAGCAGGGAGGAGAAGACTTTCATGATTGCAAAAGGGTGTGATGTCTCTGAGGCATGAGTGGAAAAGAGGAGGAATGAATATAGACCTGGAAGATGTTGCGAAAGCAGCGTCCATTTGCTCGCAGTCACGGTACGACGTACGAAACAGGCACAAACGAGATATACGGAAAGCTTGCATCGCAAAAATCCACGAGGAGAAACGATTGACACCCACTTCTCTGCCGGAAGAGTATAAGCACGGATGTACAGTCCTCGCAGCAATAAAATACACCATATGGCCACCGAGTCCCAATCATTCATACCCAATTAGAGAGGTCCTCGACCGGCACAGAAACGTATCTAAGTACTCTATACTCTCGCCCCTGCCTGTAGCGCGGGAAATGGCGCGTGTTCCGGCGCCGACTGGTACACAAAGTCCGTGCGTGTCGACTCACGACCACAAGTAGAGATGAGCAAGATGGAAAGGGTTGGATACGTCGCCATCAAATATCACAAGTGCAGGAGATGACTTAGTCTCGAATACCAGGACCAGAGGAGCAATGATCAAGTACTGCGAGAAACTTCTCTCGCCGCCCCTTTTGCTTTTTTTGCTTTTTTTGCTTTTTTTGCTTTTTTCGCTGTTTTTGGTTGTTTGAATTTTTCACCTGAAAAAGTAACGGTTCTGGTGGTTGGTTACTTCCTAGATTCGACGTAGACCTTGTTGGCGTTTGCTTTGGAAATGCTCGCCAAACCAATTCAAAGATTCCTACGGAGCTCAAGCACACTGATAGGTTGTTCCTTTTGAAAGTGAAGATAAGCGAGTATTGATGGGGTGTTTGAAGACGCATTTCTCCGTGCAGTACGCGACTCCGCGAGGATAGGAGGTTGTGCAGTGACATTTCAAGTCGCGGTAACAATATCTACATTGTCACGAATGGATGGGACTGCCTGTTATCTACATAGAGAAAATGGTGTACCTTGATAGAGGTTGACAAGCGCCGACAACGACTTTTATGTGACTTGGTGATTATAAAGGAAGGGATGTAAAAGCTACCCGCGTGTAGACCGACAAACCGCACCGTCCCTCTATCCTCCCCGGAATATCAGCTTCAATAATTGTCACCAACAGACTATTAAGGTAGATATTTGCATATGGCTTGTCTAAAAGTCGTACGCTTTGGCTGATAAACTCGGATAGCGGGAGGTGCGGTACATTGTGTTGGCCTTCAGACGCATGTTGATGAGAGTGATTATCACGACCGCCGCTATATGATCGGATGAATTATCCACAAATGCAACAACGGATCCGTCAGTATAAGTCGTTACTTGTTGAGTCCTACCTGACACCTTTCACTCCAGAGCACGGACATTTCCCTTGCTCATGTTTGTGTTTCCCAAGCACACTCTTTCGTCGCCTCGTATGTCATGGTGGACACCTTAAAATCATTTGCTCGAACAGCTTTGCTTCAGCATTACTTATAACGAGGCTGAATATCTCGAGCGCTTGTCGGCATGTACCGGATAGACTTTTCCCGACTGGCGCGATGCCTGGTACCCTCCTTTCGTCCTCGACAGACGATCGACCAAGGAAAACGCACCCCTCAAAGGTATGGCGCGAGCCTTTTTGGCGGCCAATTTTACCTCTCTGGTCAAATATTTGTGTCCGCGTATATGTACTGGCCACCTCGACCAACCGCGCGGAGTGTAATGCTGCCCTGTGCGCCTGCTAGGGCTCCGGCTCTGTCACGTGTACTTTCCGCAGGATCCCTAGGATGTGCGTCGGAGCCAG